AAAGCTTATTATCGTTGACAAACATTACAGAGACTTATCTATGAATGAAGCATTTTCATCTCTTGTTGTGTCGATGAAACAAAACTAGCAATGTAAGGAAAGCTGATGTTTTTTTTTCTTTCATTTTTTTCAAACAGTAAATAAATAAGTACAAAGTACAATATCCGTCATAGAGGTTTTCCCACTAATCCTGCTTATCCTCATTCACGGATAGGACCGGTCTTACTAATATGCTCCAACGTATTTTATCTTTATCATTAAATAAATATACGACTGTTGTAGCATTGACTGTATTATTGCTATACATGTCGATCGCAGACAACATATACAGTCAATCTGTATGTTAATACAAAGTACTGGCTTCTACAATGTTACCATGCACAAGAAAAGCCTCCTTACTTTTAACAGCTGCTGCGTACTGTAGATAAAACAATTCAAACATAGATTTGAAAATAAACATAGCTTGACCTTGTGTATAGATGGACAAGTCGAAACATCAGTGTGTGTATCGGTCAAAACTAGGAAATTAATTTGAAATGCATTTTGCTTGGTTGAAATTTCATGAGACTCTGGTCCTATCAATAGGTAGCAAATAGCATCACTGACTTCAAATAAGGAAGTTTGGAAAAGTAACCATATTCTCCCTGATCAAAGATACCAATTTTGTAAGTCTTTGTCAACACAGAAAATGTATCGTTCTCAAAATCAGAGAAGAATAGATAAGTACGATCGCCATTCGTACTAACCAAAATATTACAAACAGTCATTAAAGCCTCTTTATATAGTCCAAATTATATCTGTTGTATGATCCACATATGCATGTGTGCATTATTTTACTGGGATCATAATCATATTTATCAAATGATCGCCTTGGTATTCAGTTAATATGCCCGTGGTTTGTCTGGTCTTGACTTCTTGATAAGGAGGATACCTCTTTTGATAGGAGCATAACTATTCTTTGTCATGTTTTAGCAAATTACAATATTGAAATATTGCTCATTGTGTCAGCATTTCAAATATCTAAATGACTTCATCAATTCAAAAAGAACATTTTGGCGTAGAAAGGGAGAGCAATTGAGCTGATATAACTTTAAGTTTGACATAGAATTGTCCGTTTTCTCTTTCTGTGTCCCCCAAAAAATCTATCGTGTGTTGCCATTTGATGAGCGACTCACGAAAGTCGTCACTAATTTTTCACAAAGGCTCGGTAAGTAAAAAATCTCAGACTTTTTTTATTACTTCGCCTATACATGTACTGGAAACTGTAATATCCTATGTGTAAAGGATCTTGGATGCTGATAGGACGTTAAACAGAATATGATTAACATATTTGCAATCTCTATATTGTAGATTTTCTGTCAGCTGTGATTTTAGTTATTTGTTAAATTACTTTATTTCGTTAGAGGAATTAGAGGTTAATCAAATGTATAATGTGCGAGGCGATGTCATTTTGTCACTAACAAATAATTCCCTGGGTAATATGATAAACATTAGTACTATGAGAGTACTATTGGATATGAATTCTCTCTAATTCAGGTGAAGACCCGAGGTGTGTCTCTTACTCTTAAAGTTATAAATAGACAATATTAGATAGCACAGCGAAAATGTAAATTGTTATAGTGTTTTTCTTTGATAATTGTAAACCTCAAATGATGGGTCCTATGAAACGTAGCTGAGGAGGAACATAACTGATAAACAATCAATCATTATCAATGCTTGGTCCCTGCCATGGTCATTATATTTTCTGTTAAGAGTTTCATGTGACTGGGGCCTAGTAACTATTTTTAACGATTCATGTCTTGTCAACTATACACTGCAGTTGTCAATATGTACCATCCATTTATGGTACCTTCCGTACTTTGTTATATCAATTTTTGTCAAATGTTTTACCAGTTTTGTTATAGCTGAAGTCCAAGTGATGTTAAAGGTTTAACCCTTGTTGGTTACATTACCTCTGCTCACAGGGATATACAATATTATTTTTATATAGATTTTTATGCATTTTTTCCTGTGAAATATGGAGAAATATCTCACTAGTGAAAAATAACAGACTTACGCCAGTGAAAAGAGAGAATGTAAATCATCTAATAAAAATGACAGATCACGTCTGATACAAAATTCACAAAACCAGACATCTGAAGTGGTTGTGTAATTGTGACACGACCTTCAATTCCATGATAAACGTTCTTTATATATATTGTGTCGTCTCTATATTTCACTCTCGGCCTATCAAAATCAAGCTCAGTAGAGGCAAGCGGAATTTTGAAGGATTTTGAAAAATAATGCGAATATACTGTAAGAATTATATTTTCCATGGGGGATTAATTTTTCTTTGAGATTGTGACACATACACTTTAACTATGTATTAACGTGTTCGTGAAACAGTTAACAGACAGAAATTGACATAGATTATGAAACTAGTGTATTCCATTAGGACGATTTATTCATGAAATCAAGATAAAAATAACCGAATATTTTTGTAAAACCCCGAAATTTGAGACCCACTAAAATAAACCATTTTACAGTAAGAGTATGCGTTAATGCAGTAAAACTGCCTAATCTGTTTAAAATTCCCATGAATTACCAATTGGAATATTTTCAAACTTTAATTTCTTTCTTATCTTTAATTCCAGTAACACATTAAAGATATAATGATATTCAAATGGTATATTTTTCTCACTATTAGATGGTTTACTTTTCGATTTGTGTTTTTGGTACCAGAAAGGATTCTAATATGAACTTATATATGTTCATTTTCAAACTAACGTTATGGCAGAGCAACAATGCATTTAGTAGTATGTGCTTATCATCAGACACCACCGCAGCACCCTGCCAGTTGTTATTATCACACCAAAGCTCATGACACTCAGATCACAAAGTGAAAGTTGTTAAAGTATCTGTTCATCTTCCTGCTATTGACGTCACGAATTCACGTGACACATGCTTATAAAATATAGACTGGATGCGTTTGGTGTCAGATACGTTTCAATTTCCACACATCCTGTTCGAATAGAGTCACATTCATGTAAGTATAAATCAATGTTATTGTAATACAGTATTGCATACTTAGGGGACAGATGACTTATAGTAGATATCTTGTTTACATTTAAGGTTGCAAAGAGTTATATTATTACCGGCACTGTTACTTTTTATCGTATTTTTTTTATTTCACTTTCATTGTGATGTCATTCGTTACGGTTTTATAACCCATTCATATAATCATCTGTCACCGAGTAACTGTCCCACATAGGCAACGTTTTCCTGTTAAGTTATAGATAGCCCAAATATGGCCGTGAAAAAATGTGTCGACTAAAACTTGTCAGCCAGTGCAGACAACACCATCGGCCGTTGTTCAGAACTTGAAGTCATTAGAATGTTAAAATCGCTGCGAAGTCTCTTTATAAACACACTAATGATATGACAGCAGCATCAAATCCCATAGGTATATATGACTTGATCCATTATCAAAACATCAATAATGATTTCATAACGCAATTAGTTTAATACAACATTTTATTTCTATTAAACATATCAGCGTATAGCTTATCATTAGTACACACAATGAAGATAAAGTTAACAGTTGGGTAATATTCACGACAAGATCTTATAATATCGGAAACATATCCCAGTATAGTGTGGATGAAACGTAGTTGTAAATATAGTAAAATCTTCCCAACACATGTCGCTATACTGTGTTTGCAATTTCGCTATACCGTATTTGCATATTACATATATTTCTTGTGTTTAATTCAGTATTCTTATGAGTTCCATCAGAGAGACTTATTCTGATGAACGTGGTCTTTATGATATTTCAAACCTTACAACCACAGATCGTCGCTGAGAAGGATCCATTGACGGCATACTGTGATTGATAGCATTATGCCAAGTTACAATTCTAATGTCCACTTTGACCTCATTTTTCATTGTCTTTACCATATTTTTATCATCCTGCTCCTTCATGTTCATCAGTTTGAAGTTCTGACACACTGTCCATTTTCATTAAGGAAACTATATTACCCCTAGTCCGCCTATATGCTTCTTTTGTTTCACCTCTAAGTATTTAAATTGATTTCATCTGACTTTTTTTTTTTCATTTTCTGAGTTCAGATGCCCCTGATCTTATGTTTTGTTGTTTTTAGGTATGCCATTTTTGTTCTTGAAAATATCGGCACTCTTTTAATCTGTGTTGTTATTTATTTTCTTTTGTATTTAAATGCTTTCTTTTCTTTCTTATTTTTTTCCGGAATAGAAATAGACAAAAACTAAATATGTAATATATGAAACCACTGTCAATGTGCATTGTAAATTCAAGACAGCAATGCATTCATGAGGTACCAAAGCTAACCACTCATAGATGGTAATAACGCGCTATATAACTAAAAGTTAAGCAATGTCATCTCCATGGACGCGAATATTGTTATAATAATGAATGCACTGCACACCGCACTTATCGTTCCTTCCGATGGGAAAGGGGGCAGTATTTCGCAGTTTAGAAAAGATCATCGACACAACCTTTCTCGTTTGTCTTGCAACCTAATTTCTATTTGCATTGATAGATTGTTTAAATCAAAGCTATGCCATGTCTCGAAGCAGTTGTAACTCATTGTAAATAAGTCATTATTTACATCATAATCGGTCAGGTCTCCAGTATGGGCAAACGTTCAGTTGGCTTTACTTCTTGATGTAAAAAAATCAAGCTTTTATGCAAGCCTGAATATGTGTCAGCATCGTATTGGGAAAGAAAACAGAATTGTCGAAAGATATAAATCAGAAATCGAATTACCTAGTGATATAATTTGGCGAATATAACTCAGTAAAAGAAGACTGTCAAATCAGCAATAACCGAGGAAGTTATTTGTTATATTCAAATGCCACAAAAATGTTTTTATCACTTGATATCATACCTGTCCGATGAAAGGAATGGGATTCGGCTAATTTTACAAAATAATCTGAATGTTTTATATTTTGTATTTTGTATTAGACCAGAAGAAATGTTTAAGATGGCTCGGCATACATTGACATGTATACTGCTGATGGTAAGTTGTTTGAACAAATGCACATAAGCAACAAATACCAACATATGAACATAATCATAACTCAAAATCAATAAAAACTAGGGCAAAATAAAAACAAAACAAAGAAAGAAAAAAAAAACATAAGGAGAATCAGACCATGTGTTCCAAAAGAGTATTCTACTTTATCGACGACACCTGTCACATTAATCTTGGCACACCCATGCTAGTACTGACACGTTCTCAAATCAGAACAATGTTTACAGCAACGGAACCAACATGGAAACTAACGAACATGAAACACGCCTAGTTAACGCAAAGACTAATGAAAGTCTTCTGCATCAACAGTAACTTGTTGAATGTTTTACTGGTTTAAGGTTTACAAAGGATCATTGGTCGGCAATGCTGCAACAACACCTGTTACAAACGTATCTACACCTGTTACACACGTATCTACCACACTTATACCAGATACGTTTTATTACAGTAAGTAGCCACTAACATTACTAACATCTTTGATATATGAAATTAATCATCGAACGCCACTAGTTACTGGTATAAGCATGTGTGATGTTTCGATGAGTAGCTTGTCACCATCGTTGTGATATATAGTATAAATAGATATAAAATAACATTGAAAATATTTTGCATGTGTATTTCCCACTTTTCCTATGTTACCCAGGATATTTAATGTGTCGTGTATTTCACTAGGACATACTTTTCGACTTGATAGTTTTATGTAAATATCCATTTCGGTCCAACTACTGACTTTTTAAGGTATTTTGCTTCTGGTAACAGTCAATATTTATCATATTAATACACATACACATATATATTCGTTGTGTTGAGATGGAAAAATAAATCCGATCAACTATTAGTGTAGTATATACGCGTATATATACAGAGGTATCATCTTTCCACTAGACGTCCAGAGATAGATTACCCGCACGAACGTGAGAAGGTATTGAGTCATCAGCCAGATTACATGGTTTTTCTATGGGTAATCCTGTTTCCTCACCCATTAAGACCCCTCGGTTGCTTCCTTTCTTTCCAACAAGAATGATTAATATCAGCTTGTTAAAGTTGAATATTTAGATTCAATGAAACCAAAACATCACTATTTATATAATTATTCAGTCTTGTTATTTAAGATTGCACAGAAGAAGGGGATATCCATATCATCAATGACGGCGGTTCCTTAACTAATTTGACAATTAAATATCTCAACCAATCAGATGTAGGCAACTGTACCGATCCAGAGCTTCAGACAGATGGGTCGTTTGTTCTTACAGATTGCACAAAGGTAAAATTTAGCTATAGTTAAAAGATATTTGTTCAACATTCGTATCTTTGCATATCAAACAAAACCTATGATGTGTTTGTACAACAAAAGAAATGATGTAACGTAATTAATATATATATAATAACCACTAGGAATATTGAACGTGTAACAGACAAATGTAATAAAATGAGAGAGAAAACTTATTTGATAAAAGATTATGAACAGTTTATTTCAACTTTTTGGTAGAACACTACGGTCGATGTCGTACTTGAGGTTACAAATGGATCAGACATAATCGGAGGACATCATTCTAAATCCTTTCAAATCAAATGTGAGGATGTCAATATCAAGCCGTACTACCTCAACGTAACATTTGCTGCAAACGTCAGGTTAATTGTCAACTATATTTAATATTTCGTCACAGACTGTAATCAAATCAAATTCGTTTGCAAATCCGCACCTATTTGATTTTCCTCAAGACAAGAAAAAGTCTCAGAAAGCAACGGGCAATATTAATTGAGTACAGATTGTTGAATAGTGCTGAAGATTAAATTGATCTATCACAGTCATTTGCTAAGTTTTATACTTAATATGGAACTTTATGTCAGTGGTGGATTCCATAATTAGATATATTGCATTGAATGCATGTCTTTTTTTAAGGAACGAAGTCAAAACTCATGTAGTAAACATGGCTACAAAACCTACACCTACTCCGATATCACAATTAACAATGACTATCAAAGGTCAAAGTGGTACAGTACAGGAAGCAACCATTGGTGAAGCCTTGACCATCGTCATAACGACCCCAGGTAAACTATGGAATCACATATATCATAACACTATATGTTATCTGTGGCTGTGTTATATGTTACCTGAAAATGTCCTCTATGTAATCTGTAGCTGTACTATATGTTTAACACAGGGGTAAAATTTAAGTTGTTTGTCCACGTAGACTGCTGGACTAGTACATCCTGAAATTTACTAGCCCTGGGCAAATAATAGTATCAGAAAATTTTCATACATTATAGAAATTTATTCAAAGAAATACTTAACGCAGTTTAATTCAATACTGATTAGATGTTAAACTCATAGAAATACTAAGTACACAACATGATCTGAATGTCGGGTAATTTTGTCCAGATAATCTGGATCCATTTGTGTCTAAATATCCAGTGCATCATAGTCCACCTCAACTGGTCTATCTCCATATGGGTCTTGAATAGGTCTCCTTACTCTCTGGGCTGTTGTGTTCCACAAAAGAACGGCATCAGTAAGGTCATACTCTTTAATGTTGTTTGTATGGAACATGACAAAGAGCAAATCGAACAAAACATGTGGTCTCAGTCTTGACATCCGATCACTTTTGACTAATTACATTTCTAAAAAGCCTCTTTCAGTATCATCTGAATGAGCTGGTAAGGTAAGTATTAAGTAAATCAAGGCCAGGACATTCGTGGAGTCTGTGTGCTGCCTGTTGATTGTCTGCCAGTCTAAAGAGGATAGATATTTGCAGCTGCAATGAATTAATAAAATATACTTTCAATATACATATAGAAAGAAATATTTTACTATGACACCGTGATTTAGAGCTAAGAAAGTAGAATATTCTTTATTTTCTAGACTAAGAATAAGTAATATGTTTAATGATTTACTGAAATTGAAGAAGTAGCAATCTCTTGTAAACATTACTTTTCAGCACATCCCATTCCATTTCTATTGCATTGACATCAACACCTGCATCTGAAAGAAATGGTTTATTATTATGATTAATGTGTCTTCATTATTTTTGATTTGTTGTTAAATACTCACTGTGTTATCTTCATTACACAGATAAGAATTCAATATAACCTTATTTGAAATTAAGTGAATTCATTATTTTTGAAATGTATGAAATGTCAGCAACTAACATGAACTGTTTGCCTCAACAGACCAGATTTTGATATTTGCGATCTTGAATGAAGCTGCTATTCCATCCACAGAGAAATGATCTTGTAAAGAGGTTATCAGGGCTAATGTGATTGTGTCGTTGCTGCTCTCAAAGGCAGCTGCACAAAAATCCATGTCAGTCATGGTAACTATTGTTTGCAAGTCCATCTCTGCAATCTTTTATGTAGTGTTAATGAAACTGTTATTTTATTTCCTAAAAATGCTCAATGGAAATTCTGGAATTAAATTGATAACTTTAAGCAATTTTTAAAAAACCAATTCAGTAAGAAATTGACTCTGTTTTGAAATCTGTACATTCTACATCATAGATCGATTTACGTTCGGCCTCTGTTGACGCAAATTCGACACAACACTTGTAAGCATCGCCGATTTGTCGTCATTTAATATAAGCTAATCCCGTCCTTTTTTCCTTTTGTTGACACAAATTCGACACAACACTTGCAAAGCATAGCCGATTCGTCGTCATTTAATATTAACTAATCCCGTCCTTTTTTCCAAGAAGGGAGGAACTTCCTGCTCCTTTTGTCCTTTTCATATTCTTTCGATTTTTCTTCTTTTTTTTTTCTCTTCATTTTCGCTTTGTTTTGTTTTTAGATGAGGGACTGACGCCACTTATATACCACCGCATTGTCAAGTATTGCTCTTAGTTACTCAAACTTTTTTCTGACCACGAATTAAACCTATTCACGACCTATATTACAATACATTACGCTGGTTCTCAGCGCATGTTAGTTGGGCATGCTTTACGGCTTTTTTCAGAAACGTTGAGAACGTGAATGGTGAATTCTAGCATTACTAACCCAATCGGACCAGTGGAAATTCGTATCAATTAGTCCAATGTAACTTTCACTAGCCACGGGCTACAGCTAATTTCGAACTCTGTGTTACCTCTGAATGTCTTGTATGTTACATGAAACTCTCCAGTATGTTGCCGGTAGCTGTATTTTAAATTATCCGTGGCTGTCTTATATCTATCATGTGACTGTACTATTTTTTACCTGTGGCTGTCGTATAAATACTCTCTTATTGGAAAATCACGAATAAGACAGTTACATTTGACTGGGCCTTTCTAATGTACTAATTTGGTCACAAATAGAGCAGTATACAAGTACACAAGTCTCACAATTGTGCTCTGGCGTTGTAAAATGTAAAGTAATGAACGTTTGCAGATGTAATTATCCAACACAACAAATTAATGTAATTCCCCCATACCTTCACATTCACACAATCAGCAATCATTTCCAGGAATTTCAATGACGCAAACTAAGTGTCAAATAAATTTTTCAAATAATGTTGATCCACAATCAGGTTCTGATTTGTTCCATACCAGGCAATATTAATACAGTCAACTATAAAATTGGTTGACTAACAATAATTCCATCTTGTCTAGATACTAATCTCCCAGATATTCTACAGTATGATTTATATTACAATACTACATAACGGGAGCCAATTCGGGTTACAGAAGATACCGTTTCGGGTTAACACTTCCTACCCACTTTAAAACTGATTCTTACATGTTATAGGAATTCAGTCATTTTTACATACTTCTATGACAAATAATATTACAACTCTCGAGGATCCAAAATGGCAACCTCGTGGTCCTTCAATTAAGCTTACATGTTGCACTAAACATCACCATCTTCACACGGATTGTTTTCACGTGAGGAGTAAATACCGATGGATCACATGACCACCTAATTGATGATAGGTTGATATTGCTACTGGATACAATGAGGAATCAATAAGAACGAATGATGCAAAATTCAAATCACTATTGATATTCATTGTTTTCATTCCTATTTAATACACTATTGTACATTGTATTCACTCACTCCTTCGAGGCTCCTTTTCAGGGATCTGGCAAAACTGAAATAAAATTAATTCCTCTGAATATTTACATTGTATATCTTGCAGGAAATGTTGATATCAAACCAACAGAATGTAAGGCAACAGGAAATGGAAAGGAAGAGACATTGTGGATTGAAGCAGGGTAATTCAATCTGATATTTATTGTCTGATCCATATCTAAATCCATTCTTCACATATTTCTTAACTAATTATTCAAATGAATTTCTGACTTCAATGCTCATATTTTGCATGTTGTTTTACTTGGTACGGCATTATTCATTACTGAATTAACTAATGCGGTATAGCTTATGTAATGTGCAACCTTGCTACAATACAGAGTCTCTCAAATCAGAAACAAATTATACAAATTTGTATTTTTCTCAAATAATATTCTAAGATAAAATGATGAAACGAAAGTGTTATTTTTATTCATTTTACATGGTCGTTTTAAACGTTTCAGATAAGAAAACAACTACTTAATGTTAATGATATAAGCAGAATACGCTTTCAGTTGGTTGAATTTATTTGAAACCTGTCCGCAAATTATCGTAAACATGCAGTATTGATTAGCTTTTTTTATGGGAAAATATTTTAACTTTCAGTTGTAAACATGACGAAGAGTTGTTCGGAGAAAAGTGGACAAAAAATGGAAAAGATGTCACGAACACCATATACGGCTTCCGGTTTGTAGGCCCATCAAAAAAAATCAGTATCACATGCACCGTGCGCGTGTGTCCAGAGGGATATGGAGGACATGAATGTGATCTGGTAAGTGCAAACATATCTGTTTCTGATTAAGATTGTATGAATTAATTACTTAAGTGTTGATTTGTAAATATCTGTACTCCATTTCAATATGAATTTTGAAATATGAAAATATTGTATCGGTTGATTCTAATAAAAGGAAACAAGTTATAATCAACCAACCATGTAATTACAATATTAACTTTCATTTCACTTTTAGTTTAACAAACATGGAATTTGAAAGCTTGATAGGGGAAATGCATGACGAGCAAATCACAGAAGCTGCCTTTAATATAAGCAAAAGAGTTTAATAATGGACGAAATTTGTTCAGTATTATTTTCTCTGGGTTGTGAATTTGATCAACAAATGTACATAACTTAGCGCCGCCAGAATATGTGGGGTTTTTTCTGGATACTCCGGTTTCCTCACGCAGTTAAATTCCTTGTTTGACTCATTTTGGTAAAACAAGAATAATATGAGCTGGTAGTTGGTTTCGCAGCTGTTGTCAAATAAAGTCAGTATTCATAAACGCACAAATCTCCAATTTGTTACCACAGTCAACTTTCTGATGCTAGCTCTCTCAAATATGGCGGCCATCTTTAACGTTTATGCAGTTGAATGCTGTTGACATTCACTAAATCATGAAAATAAAGAAGACGTCATTTTATCAAGATTTAGAATGAACGTGTAACAGTTAAACTTACTTATTTTTCGAAACATTAGACAGTATCTGTAATCCCATAATGTATTCTACTTTATACATGGTTGCTTTAAGAGGATCCCCGTTGCTATCACCGTTCTGTCGGCAATGGGTCGGAAAGTTGTCCAATAGAGCTTTCAACGAAGCTAAAATGGCGGTACTTTCGTCAACATTAACAAAAAATGCACATCTGTGAAATTATAGTAACATATCTTAGATATGGTTCAATTCATACTTTCAGCTGGCATTTCTGAGCAATATCAATGTTAATTTGTTAAGAGGAAATTGACAAAAGCCGCACAAAGGGAAGTAAACTCAGTTGGTTTACGTTACTGTTAAAGTTTTGATACTTTTACTGGCAGGTATATCCTGGTAATGTACATTCGGTAAGGTCACATAGTGGCGATGTCATAGAATGGTAAACATAGATCTGATATGTAATGTTATTTCGAGAAATTACCTTGAAACGTGTTCATATTAAAATGTTGAAAATAATATAAATATGTTGTATTGCTGTGATTGACAGAAAATCATATTGTGTAAATTCGTCTCTAAACGATTGAGAAATAGAATAATTTCATTAGTCATTAACAGATAATCAATGTTGACAATAAAAAGTCACTGGACGGCGATTCCAGCGGGGCTTAGTCAGATCGTCATGTATCGAAGTTAGGAATAAAACTAAGGATCCAATGTTGAATTTTCGATTGATTGATTTGCCTCAAAGCAAGCAGTTGTAAATTCGAAGAAGTTTTGAGCATACAATTCCTCTATTTGTATTAATCTATGTTGAACAAACAGAGCCGATGTTCGAAGACTAAAAGAAAGAGAATCAACCACATGTCATCTGACATAACCATGACAAAAGCTACAACGTCATTAACCATTAAAGATACAATGCTGACCAGCGTGACCAGTGGGGCAGGACGTAAGTAAATAAGCAAAACGCATAAAACACAGAACATATATCGCAGGAAAATTAGAAAGATTACACACTTATCTCATTAAATACGAACCTTTATGGTGTCTATTAACCCACTAACCGCTTCATTGTTGGAATTCATGTTGTATAAAAACCTGTGATCATTAATGTGAAAAAATCTTATTATTTATTAATGCAATCATATTTTACAACCAGCCTCGAAATTTGCACGAAACACTTGACACAATAAAACATTTATCTGAATTGCATTGTACTCCGTAATTATTCTTACATATTTTAGATTTAGACTATCATGGATATCCTTTATTTCTTTCAGGCCTTGGATTTGAAATGATCAACACCATGGCGTTCTTTGTGGCAGCCTTTGCAATCCTGACCGTAAAATTCATTAAGGAGTGATTTTCCTCTTGTAACAAGAAATATATCAGAATTTGGTACAAGATACAAATTTAATATTTTTTTGCAACATCATATACCCATTGTTAAAGACTTTCAATTATATATTAGAGCTACATATTTTGTATTCACTTTAAACAAAGGTCATACGTTTCCTGACACTTTCACATGTTCTCTGACTGAGGATACAACACCCTACAAAAGGTTGAAATCCAACACTTCTTTCCAAAGTTTATGTTTTACAGTTTGGAATCTTCCTTTACAATTAAAAAAAAAAGAACAAATGCATTGTAATCGCGTTGTGTCCTCGTGTTTCTAGTGATCAGCGCATTCATTTTTATTTATTTTTATTCGTTATCACACATGTAATATGACCTAGAGGACATGTGTGTGACAGAAAGTTATCGCTTTTACCAGATTGCCATCATAGATTCATTGCCTCGCATGCATTGCGACGTCAACGAAGGAAAGAAATAAAGTATTGATAGAGAATGGCGTTAATATATGCCTTTTTTTGCAACAGTGTAATTATATGATTTTTCGTGAAAAGTGTATATGCTATATGTCAGTCAGAATTCATTTGATGAGATGTATGGAAACAATCTAGAAAATGCCAAAATGTCAGCATAAACACAATTAAAACTCACATTCCATAAAACTATGGCAAAATATGAACAAAAGACAAACATACTCGTGACTCATGAAAAAGCACAAGGGGAATAAGGCCAGGTGTTCCGGAAGAGTAAGCGTCTTCTGCATCATCGACGACACCCGCCATGTAATCTTTGGTCACTCCACGTAAGTAATGTCACGTTCTCAAATGAGAATAAGGTATACACAACGGAACCGACAAGCAAACAACACGCAGCAAATACATCCAGCTTCATGTCGTAGAAAGATTCAGAATATGTCTCAATGATATCACTCTGGCGAACGTAACACTTCCCTATAATTTTTATCAACCTGTATCGTTTGAACCCTTGGATTACGAGTTTGTCAATCAGTTGATGACTTCTTGACGAAAATCGTTAAAATTGACCCTTGAATATCGGAACAACTACGACATGTAAGTGTCATAGGTTGGATGCAGGTACGATAATTTATTTCCTTGTGGCAGAGGCTTCTTTGAATGAAAATTCTTAAATTGATTTTATGAAACTTGTATGAAATCTGTGGTCGTCAGGTCGTTGGTCGACATCCGTAAAATTGTTATAATTTTTTTTATTGCATTTCTCATTATATATCAATAATAAAATGGTTTTTTTACTGTTTTGTCGTTTGAACGTTCATGTTTTTTAATCTGTCTTGCTCAAGCATATCGATATATCATCAAATACTGGTAACACTATTAGTTATGTATTACAACATAAATACCCTAATATATCGCGAAAAAACCTTGGTATTGTGCTTTATCGTTATTCACCGTAAGGAGTTCAAGGCTTATTTTCGGAGACGTCTTATGATATTTTGTTACTCTAGTATCTGTAATAATAATAGCAAACTAACTTGAAATTATGAATAAAACAAGCACATTTATGCGACTTATTTTAGAATGAAAGTATATTAATTTCAAGAAAGGCAACGCATCTTTTCAAGTCCGGATATAAAAAATGGACAAATATTTATGCTGATAGACACTAACATCTCGAGTTTGAAGTTATAAAAAGTTTTCAAGAGAATACCATTATAACAACATAATCATAATCCAAACTTAAATCCAATATAACTAGCGCAAAATATGAATAAAAGAAAGATTTACACAGACTCATGAAAAAAAATTACAAGGAAAATAGGGCCAAGTGTTCTTGAAGAGTAAGTTTATCCTGCATCATCGAAGACAACCGCCGGGTTAATCTTGGTCAATCTAACTGAGAAAAGTCAAGGACAGAAATGAGAACAAATTATTAACAACGGAACCAAAGACAAACTAACGTGCAATCAAACACACCCACCTTCATATAGCATAAGGAAAAACAATTTCTCTCACAGACATCAATACGGCGACCGTTTTGTATATATGTCGATATTGTAACATATCCAAATGCCCTAGCTTTTTACAATTTCCTAATTGTGAATAGTCCATTTCTAGATAGCATCCCTGCATCCCAAATATATCATGTTTAAACTCAGCAGTTGATTAGACTTTCAATGGACTGTTCCTGACATTAGGAATTTCTTCTAAGATAACGCCAATCGACAGACAAATCTTAATTTTCAAGATATTCGGTTGATAAAAATCATATCGGTTTTATCCACGAACTTCCTCATTTGATAGGCCGTTAAATAAACAATAAAATAAAGGAGTGCCTTCAATGTCAAAGGCGACATTGGAAGAAGATTATATTCCATAAAAATGTGAAATAAGGAAATAGCTATAGAAAATCCAAGATTAATTGTTCCGTCCGGACAGAATGCTGATCACTTACAAATTAATGGTTAAATAAATGATAAAATATAGATTATGGATCATTTGCGTTGTCTTTAGCAGAACAGTTTTATTTTTTGTTTTCACACTATGATGATATCTGCTTAAAACACTGTTGTATGGTGCTGCAAATGAAATAAATAAATTGATAAATAAATAATTAAGGATAAATAATATTAATGAATAAGACAAACAACATTTACTATGCGATTCAGGTACAGATTGATGACATGCATATGTAAGAATGCTCACAACTCTCCGTAGCAAGGATGTCTACCGTCTGGTTCGGATCGAAGTGGGAGACAACCCAATATCGCGGGCTAGACTATATTCGTCCCTTTGATCGTCGGGAAATATAATTATTTTGATAAAAAATAAGTGTGACAGTTCAATTTCGCTGTTTTGTATTGAGTTAAAAAAGTTACAAATCTAGCATACACCCATTTTACCTAAGTTTGATCACTCTCAAATTACGGATTATATTTCTAAGCCAAGCCATTAGATTTGCTCCAGTTCTAACAAAGCAAAGTTTTTTTGGTTGTGGTAGTGGAGAGATATGTTGGCATATGAACTAACATACAACAACACAAACATGGACAGCTTTCCACCAAGCTGTATTCGAATTTATTTCAATTTCCATATTGTGAATTTTCCATTTCTAGATAGCGGTATTCCTGCATCTTCAGCCTATGGTATTAATATGGGACAGTTGATTCGATTATCAGGATTGCCTTGCAAGAAGTCGCCAACTGACGGACAAACTCGTAACACAGGAGTTAAAAATGCAAGTTGAAGTTGATTATGGAAATCGTTTATAGTCGCTTTAATGGTGCATTGATAAATATCTTTGTATGATATGAAGTTGGACGTTTTTATTCCGGTTAGTTTGCTAGTTGGCTCCATTATTGTGTACATTGTTCTCATTTGCTAACGTGCAAGTTTTATATCGATGAAGGTTATGTTAAGACGATGTCACTGTTGTTTTATTTGTTTTTTGAATGGTCGATATAACATTATCGTATTCACGGTATTTGAACAATAAGCCGCATTTGAATATTTTATAACAAAATAGTAAGAAAAGGATAATTGAATTAAAACATTTGTTTCGATCATATTAAAAGAAATAAAACATATGTTTTGTGTATTGATTGAAATGAACAAATGAAGAGTTTTTTTTTACGTATCAGTGCATTCGCTTTTGAAGAAACGGGGAATGTTTACATGGTTTGGGTACCAGCGAAAAATTGATGAAATTGACGAATGATAAGAAAAAAGCACACACACACCACCCCTCACGCCCTCATCAATTCACCACGGGTTTGAACCCAAATATGTCTTTATCTAACGTGCCTTTGAAGAAACTAACCAGATCTCTGGTCTAATAGGCGACATGTGAACTTCAATGCTAAATAACACCACATAAGGAAATACTTACATATGTTTTCATTTATTGTTAAGTGATACCCGATCTACTATGAAATACGACGGCATTGGAATATGTTTACAATGGTTGTGATACTGTTTAACAGGCACAGCAGTAAGACATTGAGTTGTTTATTTTTCCTTATCGACGTCTTGGAAACATTTGTGAAAATAGCATATTTAATTTTAAAAGTAAGGATCAATGTCTTCACCTCAGCAATTATTTGTTATCATTACCTGTCAAAGGTCTAAAACAGTTATTGACTGATGAATTGGATTCATTCCACATTTCTTTTTGTATAGATCGTAGATTGAAAGGCAAAAAAAAAAAAAAAAACAAGGTTTATGTTAGAATATCGGACATAAAAGCACTGGCTTATTTTAATTTTGTGTGTAATGTTACCACTTGTTACTGTAATACGATGCGTGATCAGGCCAGATTGATCAAGTGGTTGTATATGCAGGTGATGGGCTTGTGCTGTGGGTATTTTATTTGTAACCGATGGGGGCTTTACTGTCAAATGTGTAAAACGAGAATAAGTGAATACTATATATATAAAACTCGAAATGAGCATCAAGAAATCTATACGAATACGTTTCCATTCCCCTAGATAATATCACCAATACTTCACGTGTTAACATTAAACTCTGGATTTAATCTTAATTAAAAAAAACCGCTCCATCCAAAGTTTGATAGAAATGAATGTTATCGCAGCTCATTCTCCAAGTATGCACCTGACCTTCCAAACAGTAAATACATATACACAAGTATAAAGTACAACATCCGTCATAAGGTTTTCTCACTAATCTTGCTCATCCTCATTCACGGAAAGGACCAGTGGTACCAATATGCCCCAACGTATTTTATCTTTATCATTAAATAAATACACGGCTGGTGTATCATTGACTGTATTATTGCTATACATGTCAATCGCAGACAACATATACAGTCAATCTGTATGTTAATACAAAGTACTGGCTTCTACAATGTTACCATGCATAAGAAAAGCCCCCTTACTTTTAACAGCTGCTGCGTACTGTAGATAAAACAAGTCAAACACAGATTTGAAAATAAGCATAACTTGGCCTCCTTGTATATAGATGGACAAGTCGAAACATCAGTGTGCGTATCGATCAATCATTACAACTAGGAAAT